CAAAACATTTGCCAGTTTATCCATAGTGCTCACGGCCGAATAAAGATTCTTCAGCGCGTCATTCATAATGGGTCTCATCTGGTCATACTCAGCAAGCTGCTCTTTCCTTTCATCCTCTTTCTTGTTTTTGTTGAGCAGCATTGTTACCATAGGTGGTTTATAACTACTCTGTGTCATTATTTCATTGCTTATTTCCTTTTCTTTATCTTTATCGTCAGATTCTTTCTTGTCGTCCCGCTTATCTTTCGTGAATATAGGTGCTATCTTATCGCTATCCTTGAATGTATCTCGGATGTTGTCATCCTTGTGGTTCTTGTTGGTCTTGTCGTTCTTATTATCGAAGATGCCAAAGCTTGGTTGCAGTATAACATCATCTTTCTTGACCAATTCATCTTTTGGCTCTTTTTTTCCGTTCTTTTTTTTGTTGGAGAAGGTGAGTACAAAGGTAAATAACGTGGTTGTACTAATCAAATGCAGAATATTCATTAATTTTATCATTTCGTTCTTTTTTATACTTTGGAGTGAAACACGATTTGTGTTAGTATGCGCTGTTTTGATTGTGATTCGTGGTTTGACTGTAGAAGGGGAAACATCAGTGTTAGGAAAGAGCACGTGCGTGTAAATAAGGCAAAATTTTTGTTATACGAGGATTTTTACGCCAGAGGCTGCAAAGCTTCACCATACATCGTAGAATGTGTATAAGAGCTTCTAAATAAATATGTAAGAAGAAAAAGATGTAGTGTGAGTGTAACAGCTTAAATTTATTTTGTAGTCTAACTGAGTTACTATGCAAATTTTTGTTCACAAAATAAAAACATTACAAATCTGCTAGAAACGGTATGAGCTGCTTCCTAGATAGTGAGTATATTTAAAGAAATAATTACATTCTGTAATTATCATAGATCATTCTCCATATAATAAGCCGAACTGAAGCAGTAATTACATTCATTATTTATCACAAACTGTTTTCTTTATTAGGAAATCGATTAAAGACTCAGCAAAGTTCAATTTTGGTTGGATGTTGTTGTATGAGGTAATAATTAAACTAACTTTTTTAAAAAAGAAAAAATTCCATATAAGTCGCACTATTTACTACATTGACATGCGAGTTACATTCTTTAAAGAGATTGCCCTAATTAAATTGTTTACTCTGAAATCTGCCAAAAAATATATTAAAAGAACCTATAAGAATGCAATATAATTATGATCAAAGAATAACAACATATTTTTAATACAACACGGTCTCACTGCTCTCACATGAGCAAATAGTAATAAAATTGGCACAGTAATAAACAAAAAAACTTCTAAACCATAGAAACGACGACTTCGTTCATAATACGAATGCGATGCACCATATCGTATAAAGTGTACAAATAGTCGTAATCGATCGCATGCACACGAACATCATAGTAATGTGTAAGATTCAGTCCTTCTGCACAATAATTTATTGTGTTCAACCTTAAGGTTTGAAAGCAAGTTCAACAGCTGTAAGCGATACATATCGCCATATTGTCAGCTACTAAATAGAAAGCGTTAATACTTCATGATTTTATGTAAAATTAGTACAACACCGTTTATATTGTAGAAATATTGGAATTGAGAGCTTCATTCATTTTACATAGGTACGATCTGCAATAAACAGGGAAGTAAAGCAATTGTAAGAAAGAAAAGTATTGTGTGATGAATAAACTAATTCAAGTAAAAACTACTTGACAGAAACACGTTTAAAATATCTTTGGTGTGTGTAATATCGCTATTGCATCGATATGATAAACTCTTTAAAATAATCTGGTATAACATTATAGATTAGCAAGTAAATGTAACTAACTAAACTTAATAATTTAATCAAAAGTAACGAGGTTTATAAACAAGCACTTTTTGTAAAAAAATTGAGAATTAGTTTGGTTGGATGATACGTTGTGAGGTGATAATTAAAATGACTTTAAGTAAAAAAGAATTTGAAAATTTCAATAAATCGTAGACTTACGCAGGATTACAAATTATACTTAATTTACTCCAAAAAATAATTAAATTTATAACATATAGCATAGTAAATAAAATAAACTAAAACAACTTTTACTAATATTCGGTATTAACGAAATAAAACGTAAAAATATTATGAAATACGCTCCATTTTATTCAAAAATCTTACATTAATAATTTTAAACACTAAATAGCATTTAATATCAAACGAAGATCCTTATTCATATCTACTATAGAATAATTATCTATAATTGCTGCTTATACATTGTAATAACTATTTTTCTTTATTTAAACGAATCAGTAAGTAACATCATCAAACTACCTTCAAATAAACATATGTGTCTTACCAGAAACGCTTAACTATACAATACACACAATGTGATATCAAGAAGAAAAGTTTATGTAAGTAGGCCGATTGTACGATCTGTCCCAAAGAACACAAAGTGTAGTGTTGTAAGGCATGTATAAATATATAAAACTCTTTTATAAGAACCAAACAGACAAAACACTGTGTTGTTATACGTCCTGTCTCATTATTTATAGTTAAACCAACCATATTGACAAGTAAATGCCAGCGTAAAAGAGTTCTTTTTAATTTTTACGGTTACATCATATTCTAATCAATGGTTTGTTTTCAACCTACGGTGTATCAAACAAGCCCTGGTTGTTATATAAGGTTAAATGAAAATATTATTACTTGAACGAATATGTCAATATATTGATAATTCAACGGCATGGTATAATAGGATTAATTATGGTAATAAACAATTATGAACCATTAATATTTTTGTTACTATACCAGTTAACTATATTATACGATATGGTATAATAGGATTAATTATGGTAATAAACAATCCCAACCATCAATATTTTTGTTACTATACCAGTTAACTATATTATACGATATGATGTAATAGAATTAGTTATGGTAATAAACAATCCCAACCATTAATATTTTTGTTACTATACCAGTTAACTATATTATATGATATAGCATAATATACTCACACTAGTAATAAACAATCCCAATCATTAATATTTTGGTAACCATATCAATTCAACCCAACCTTGAAGAGTGTGTTTGATTAGGTAGCGTGTATGAAGAAGATAATTAAACTGACTTTTAGTTAAAAAACAATTCAACCCCCCGTGATAAAATATAACAATCCAAAATAAACCACAACAATAAATAAATTTAATCTCCACACCATTAAAGGTTAAACCCTAATTCCATTACCATTTTAATTAAACCACACCAAAATACAAACAACCTTCAATCATAACACGACCGCTTATAATCAAAGGTATCACATTCCTCATTCTCATCATTCACACTCTCCTCACTCTTCCTTCTATATAAATGGTTCTGATTAGCCAACAGCTTTACATCCATTCGTCTTCCATACAAATTACTCTCATCCACAAAGCTGTATATCTTCTTAGCGTTATTACGCACATAATTCCTGCTAAGCGATTTTCTAAGCGTGTTCCTACTGCAGCGCACTTTAGTTTTCACAACGATATTGTGTGTTATTGGCACGTCGTACACCGCCTGATATTTTGCACAGCACGTGCCTGTTATCTCGTCGCTCACCGTGCTATAGTTCACAATATGCCATTTGCATTTATCAATCGTGGCAGTTACCACTTTCTTGAGCATTGGCTGGTTATGATTAGCAATCTCTTGGTAGAATACGCACTCGTTACTTGCACGTGAGGGTGTCCATGATAGATGGTCTGTCCATCTTCTAATGCCACTCTCATTTTCTGAGTAGATGTACGTGCTGCCCGCACGTACTGCATTCTTTTCGGTATCTGATAATCGTCTTTTGAGCGTCGGCACTTCGTGGTTGACTGCAAGCTGAAATAATGATAGATAGTGCGACAGTTTGTGCATGCATCCGAAATAACTCTCGTGGTTTATCATCGTGTGTTAAATACGTGATTATATAAAGAACTGTCAAGGCAATGTCATCATTTCCATAGTGAGAGAGTGGTTAGCTGCGCTTAATATGATTTGTTTGGTGATAAGCAGCTGTCACCGTTATTCTAATGTATACGATCTTTAGATTGCGTGAATGCGCAATCCTATTGGTGTTTAACCGATAATGAGAATGTGTGTGATTGCTGATGATCTGTAGTCTAAATGAAGTAACAAGGTCCTATAGAACCATCTTAAGAATGTCTAAATAACTTGAGAATATCTTAAAGAATATCAAATTTTCTTAAAATTTTATTAAAGAACGTCTTAAATAATGTTAGAGAATATCTTAAAGAATATTAAATTTACATTAATAATATCTAAAGAATGTCTAATTTATATTACATCTATCGTAAGTGTTAGAACTGGCTTAAAAATATCTTAAATATTGTCACATGTCCTATCAAAAATTTTATAGTAACATTTCTCAATATAACATCCTACATCCAATCTAAACACTATTTCTCCTCCATAACCTCCTCAACCATTCTAAAAAGCTATTCTAAGCA